GAAACCCCCACCCCGGCTTGGGCCCCGGGGATCCCCGCGTGACAACACTGGTCACAACACTTCCCCCAGTTTCTCCCCTGAGACATCCCCCAAGCAGCTTGTTTGAAATCTTGCAATTCTTTGTTTTATATTCTTTTTTTATGAGCGTTTTCAATTCAGACTTGGTTTTGTTCTTGTTTTATTTTTATTTTTATTTTTTATTTTTTTGGCACACAAACATCTTTTTTTTTTTTTTAATGAGCTAGCCCCGTTACTAGTAGGACACTTGATATCCCACCATCTACTTCTCTCACTCCCCTCTTTTTTTTGTGCTGGAAAACCGGGTTCAACGTCCCATATGACTTTTTACAAAACATGTAAGGAGCCGGAACCATTGCCCAACTTTGCCTAAGAATTAACTGAGATTGGAATTTAGAAATTCATGAGTTGTATATCACCTAAAGTCACAACTGTATACCACCGCTACCTTTCTCAGTTATTGATGGTGAGCCTACAAATGTCCATCTCGCGCTGAGCCTCAAAATGAACGGTACCAGTACCATTCCAATTTTATGAGATGCTTTGCACTGACTCCAGAGATGAGCCGGTACTGTGCAGCTTGTCATTCCGGTCATTGAAATAAAGCACGTACTCAATTAAAATTCCTTTCTTAACCCTCCGGACCGCACTCTCTCTCAAGGCTATTTTTTGACTTTCCATACTCTTAATAGCCTCGTCCTCCCAATTTTCACATTTTTCCAAAAAGACCCCACATTTCACCACTAAGATTTCATCCTCCTTCATGATTCTCCTTACCCTTCCAGGAACAGACTGCCAATTTCCAGCCGCAAACAAACTCACTTATGATTTGCTAGAGGCTGAAGTAATTAATGATGCTCCTCTATTACAGCAAATAGCAGACCCGGCTACAACCGAACCACAGTGACGGAGGCCACCCTGCTTTTGACTGCCAGCACCGAGGCAGCGTGCCTCCAAGTATTGCTTACCGACTTAGTAATGACAGTTGCCGAACAATGCAGAAGTTTGGATCGTAGCTTTCGGTCCAGGAATGACGATCTGCCTGGTTGAAGTTCTTTTGGGTTCTGCTAGTAGAGTGAGAGACCTTGACCGCACCACTTCTCAGGGAAATAGGTGTCGCTTCCCAGATTCAAGAGTGTCGACCGAGTGATACTGACTTATTTTGCACAGACTTTATAATGACAACTGCATTCAGCCCCTTAACTCTTGAGTACTTTGTTCTTCTTAGTCGCTGGAAACGCTATGAAGCACAACCTCTTACCTGACTGCCCGCATTAATCAACATGGATACCTCTCTACGGCGTTGAGTTTGGCAAGAGTTACTTTGACCAGTAACTGGTTGGAACTGATTTGGAGTGTCGCAACAAACTGATCTGAGTGACTACTGACGAGTCCGTGACACCTGTGACACGAGCAATTGACGAGGTGGCGGAATACAGAAACAGGGACTAGCCGGAACGACAACATGTCGTTGTTAGCGTTCAAGAGAGGCAAGGGCTCAGACTAACAACAGAGATGTACATTCGCAACCATGCTGTGAAACACATTCGAGTACACATGTCAAAGACAACGACACACTTCAGTCGCCGTGTGCTCCGGTCGGTCCTCGGTGACCAAATGTATGACATTGTTTATCCCCTTGTCCATCGTCTCCTCGAAACACACTATGCAATAGTCGTTGAAGACGGTGTCTAGAAGGTTGTCCTATCTGCACCGTTTTCTGTTTGCAATGGCAAAAAATTTTCAGGATTTTTTTTTCCTTGTCGTGGGCATCTGCACTAATTCCGGCCACTTTCTTTTTGCAGATAGGGCTCTGCCACGGCGACAGTGTCATGGAGCAGGCAATACTTCAAATACCGAACGACGAAGAAGAAGGCGACATGGAATACGGTCGTCGACCATGACGTAGAGGAGCAATGCGAGGCGGAGGAGGTGCATTGTAGGGGCTGCGGGGGCACATTCCAGGCCATCGGCCGGTGGCAGTCGCGCCATGTTGGCCGGGGCCCCCTCCACCGCGAATGAATGCGGTTCAAATTCGGGCTGCATGGCCACATCCGACTTCGTTGGTTGAAACCACAGTTGCGTACGTGGGAGAGGAGGACCGCATTGACGAGTTTTTGCAGACCCTCGTGGAGGACGATCGGTTGGACGCAGCGGCTAATAGATATGCACGGTACATGAAGTTTGCGAACCTTTGCCGTTACAACCGGCGCCAGAGACTACGACCGGAAGTCGAGGAGGCTATGCGTATACGATGACCCAACCCGCCTAACGAGGGTTATGTCGGGTTCATTCCGGATTCACTCGCTCCTTCGGAGAATGATGACCCTCAGCCTGGCTACATGCGCGCGCGCGCGCGAGAGAGAGAGAGAGAGAGAGAGAGAGAGAGAGAGAGAGAGAGAGAGAGAGAGAGAGAGAGAGAGAGAGAGAGAGA